AGTATTTAAGTAGTGTAGCTCTTGCTGTAATACCTCAGCTTCAAGCTAAAGTTTATTCTCTACCATCCTATCTCAAGCAACTTGCAATGCCTTGACCACACACCTCTGTTAGCACATCAGTGAACTCAGTCAGACATACCTGAAGTGTGAGGTACTGAACTGTTTATCATGTGTTAATAGTCACATGGAGTTTGAGCTTAACAATTAGCTCGAAGCTTCTAGCTTCCCTTCTTTGAGCCTGAAGGCTAAAAGAACTGAATGCTTCTTACTGACCTCTTTCCGATCAACCAAACCAGACATTATATGTCTTCCATCAACAGCTCTATCAACTCTGAAGTCCCCTCTTCCTCCATTGAATTGCTGACTGTTCTTCTAGAAACTTTAACAATCAGGATAATCAGGGATTATCAAGAGAAGGATGACATCATCCAACAACTCATTAACGGCCTCTCTATCAAGGCCTGAATCACTGAATGCAGACCCAAACAAGGGTCTGAAGGCATGGGCCAACCAGGTCCTTGCCAAATGGAGGAGGGATCCCTTCTCAATCTCCCACGAATCCCAACCTCCAACCCTGACTCCACCGACACATTGGTGGAAGAAGAGAAGGCCAAGTATGGCAAGCAGTGGGGAAGCGAGCTTGACGAGGAGCACCGACAGTTGGCCAGAATTGGCCAACCCACAGAATGGGGTCCAGCCCCAAAAGCCCGAGAGCATCGAAGATGGCTCTCAGGAACAGAATGGAATGAAAACCCCAAAGACGACCCCTATACTCCAGATCGCTGGGACAACCTGAGAGACGATCAGGATCGAAGTGCCGATGGCGACACAGGGGGGCAGGGACCCCTACCAGTCTGAGGACGGAAGTGGCCCTCAGGCACCAAGTGGAATGAGGATCCCAAGGATGACCCCTATGAGGTTGACCAGTGGGATGACACCACCAACGAAGGAGAAGGTGGTCCAGATGGACCCCTATCCAGTGAGTCAGGAAGCAGTGACTTCCTGGCAGATGATGAGTCCTTTGACTGGACCATCAAAGCAAAAATACCACCCCAGCCATCACTTCGGATCAGCAATCAAACCCTTCAAGGGTTCTTGCACAAGAAGCTCACCACTCTATTCCTTAACTCTGGCTTCTATCAAGAGTTCCAGAATTACACTGGATGAATGGAACAAGAAGCAGAGTGGTGGCATAATGCTGAGACCAAGGGAGTATGGGACCTCCCTGCCTGGGGGGTCCCATACTGGAAGGACTCCAATGACCCGCAAGGCCAATACTGGCCTGAGGGAGGAAGGAGAGATAGAAGAGGAGGAAAGTCTCTTCTCTACAAATAATCAGTGGACCCGACTGGTGGATGAGGAATGGGAAGACTGGAAGGCCAGGGAGGAACAGCATCCAAGGAGTCGGCAATACACTCGACCGATCCTTGACAACCAAGTGATGCCATTAGCACCAGGATTACCCCTGGTGCTTTCTGAAGACGAGTACTTGCCATTCCCAGTAAGTACTCCACCACCCTGGAGGATCAGCTCTTCCAGGAACAGCACAACCTCATGGCTTTCGGAGGAAAAACTGAAATATCCAAACCTCTAGAAGATCCTTGGCTGGTTACCAAAACTGATAGGAGGACAGCCACCTGCTGATGAAGCCAAAGGAAGTGGGTCAGTCCCCACTGACATCAAGAAGGATGACCCCAAAGCTATGGCATAAGGGTGGACCATCAAGGATGGGCAAATCGTACGAAAGGAAGGGCCACCAACTCCAAGAAGCCCTGTTGCTGATGATGGGTCTTTACATTCCTTTTCTGGACCCCCGACAGATTGGGCTGGTCCCTCTGGGGGGGAACTCCTGAATCCGATGTCACCTCTTGATCCAAAGGCGCATATACTAAACATCAGGCTGACGCTCGGATGGGAGCCCCTTCCTTTCAAAGGGGCTTCAGATGACATTGACCAATTCCTTATGGACTGTGACCAATACTTCCAGGTTTTTGCCTTGTACTTTCTTCATGACATGTACAAGGTAAATTATGCCACCACCTACTTCGAAGACAAGACAAAAGTATGGTGGGTATTGCTGGCCTCTAACTTCTGGTCAACCACTTGGCAACACAATTGGTACCCCACCTGGGCAGTGCTGAAACAGATGATCTGTGACAAGTTCATGGATCTGATGGTCTGAGAAGTCCACAAGTCGAAGATGAAGGAATACAAGATGGGCGACAAGGTGGCACCAGACTACTTTGACGAATTAGAACAACTCAGGAAACTCGCCAAAATCTGAGAAGATGTAGCTGACTTGGAATGAATGGTTGAGTATATGAAGCAGGGAGTGCCACCTCATTACCTCAAGACCATTTCAGATCTCGGCCATAGCATTCCAGTTGGCTACAATGATTGGAAGTCCTGAATCGTTCTAATGTGGCAGGAGTGACAACGACAGAAGGCAGAGTCAGCAAACCTGTGGGATTCACATAGGTACCAGGGACAGAGCTCGAAGCCCTCTACCTCCCACATGCCCACATCCACCAGGCCCAGCGGCTCAGCCTCAACTTCTCAGAATGATGGGAAGCAAACTGATAAGGGCCCAAGTATCAGAACAGGTAAGCAGATTGATGTGGATTGTCTCAAGAAGGAGGGGAAGTGCTTCAATTGTGGCCAACCAGACCATATGGCATGGAACTGCCCAGAGAAGAAGAACAAACGCATGCAGGAGGATATCAGGGTGCAGATTGCCGAGCTAACGAAGGAAGCACAGGAACTCAGGAAAGATGACAAGCCTGAGGAGGTAAAAGATGGGGCTGAGCAGTAGGCGATTCAACTGCCTTGGCCAAGGAAATAAGTAACGGGTCACAAACTGCTGGACAGACTAACATTTCATCTCCTTTAGTATTACCACCTATGCCTAAATTATGCATGCATTCAAATATACCCGACCTTGTTACTCAGAAACCAGAATTGCCTAAGGAACCGATTTCCACAACTCAAATGCCAACAAAAGGCCAAAGAGGGGCAGAGAGCCCCAAAGGTGTGTCATCATCAAAAGTTCATCAAATTAAAAATAAAAAACAGACTAAATCACCTATGGGCTGAACAGGGGCAGTGAGCCTCACAGCCTGGCTCAAACCATTCGAAACTGAATGGACTTGATGGGCAATCAAAGATGCAAGGAACAAAGCAGCGGCGAAAGCTGTACTCAAGAATTGGATACACAAAAGCCATGTTGAAGAAGTGATCGATGATATGATCACAGGAATGCGGAAAGCAGAAAGGTGTCAAGCCTTAGAATGGTTGGACGAACTCCATGGACCACAAAGATTCGTCCGATGATCCAAATCTTCAGGGCAAGATTTGATAACCAAAGCACAGATCAAGACGTTGATGTCTCGATCTACCCATGCAGTCACTGCCCTAATTGACAGTGGCTGCACAGGGAGTTCTATCAACCGATCCTTTGTCACCAAACACCAACTACCTACTCGAGCAACAGTGGCACCAATCCCTGTCTACAATGCAGATGGAACAAAGAATCAAGCAGGGTCGATCACCGAATACATGGAGCTTAGGCTCACTATCGGGGATCACTTGGAACAGATTGACCTCACAGTAACTGATCTAGGAACCAGGGAAGTGTTCCTCAGTCATGATTGGCTAATCAGACACAACCTGTTGATCAATTGGAAGACTGGATGCATCATTTTTGCTCAGTGCCAGTGCTGAAAAATCCCATTCCAACTACCAGATGACGATCCCAAGGACCGATGGGATGAGGAAATGGAAGATGGCAAAACTATACTTGTCATCGACCTACAAAGAGCCATTAGCATTCAAGCAATACACTATGCTAATGACCTAGCCACAAAGGCTAATGCCAAAAAGGAGGAAAAGACGTTCAAGGAAATGGTACCACCTTGGACATGTGACTATCAAGATTTATTCGAAAAAGAAAGTTTCGATGAACTACCTGAAGTAAAACCCTGGGACCATGCTATCGAATTAACTCCCAATGCCAACGCCAACCTAGATTGCAAGTGCTATCCACTTAGCAATAGTGAACAGCAGGAACTAGACAAGTTTCTAGAAGAAAACCTATCCAGTAGATGGATCCGACTATTGAAATCACCAATGGCATCACCCTTCTTTTTTGTCAAGAAGAAGGATGGGAAACTTCGACTGGTATAGGATTACCAAAAGCTAAATGAAATGATGATCAAGAATCATTATCCACTTTCCTTGATCGCAGAACTAATGGACAAGCTCCAAGAAGCCAAATACTACACCAAACTGGATGTTCAGTGGGGATACAACAATGTATGCATCAAAGAAGGTGATGAATGGAAGGCCGCTTTCCAAACTAACCATGGCCTGTTTGAACCAATGGTTATGTTCTTCGGACTCACCAATTCACCTGCCACATTCCAATGGATGATGAATGACATCTTTAAAGATCTCATCACTACTGGAAAAGTCATGATCTATTTAGATGACATCCTCATCATGACTAGAACCAAGGAGGAGCATCACATGATAGTACATCAAGTACTATCACGAATGAGGAAACACCGACTTTTCCTCAAAGCAAAGAAGTGCGAGTTCGAGGTGCTAGAAACAGAGTACCTCGGAGTCATTATCAGTGAAGACAGCATTCAAATGGACCCAATCAAAATAGTGGGAGTAACTGAATGGCCAGAACCGACAAAGAAGAGGGAACTGCAATCCTTCTTAGGATTCACTAACTTCTACTGCTGGTTCATCTGAAACTACAGCAAGATAGTCCAGCCAATGATGCAATTAACTGGGAATTCCCCATGGAGTTGGGGAATTTCCCAATGGGAAGCATTTAATGACCTTAAACGCCACCTAGCCAAAGATGTTATCTTAGCAATCCCTAGCCAAGAAGGGAAGTTCTGAGTGGAAGCAGACTCCAGTGAAGGTGCAATTGAAGCCATACTTTTACAGGAACAGGAAGGCAAATGGCGACCAGTTGCCTTCATGTCAAAAGCACTCATGGTTACTGAGTGCAACTACGAGATCTATGATAAGGAACTCCTTGCCATAATGCTCACCCTTGCCGAATGGCAGCATTATCTCATTGGAGCAGTCCAAATCTTCGAGATCTGAACAGATCACCAAAACCTCTGATACTTCCAACAACCTCAAAAGCTTAACCGCAGACAAGCCCGATGGGTCACAGAGCTATCAGAATACGAGTACACATTATACCACAAGGTAGGCATAGCAAACAAGAAGGCTGATTTCCTCAGCTGCAGGGTGGATCATAACCAAGGAGGAGATGACAATAAAGAGGTCATATTACTATGACCAGAACACTTCCAAGCCATGATGATGCCTATGGAAGAAGAAATGCACAAACACATTAAAAGTGCCACCTGGGATCCACACAAATGGGATCAAAGAATTGCACCATCACTCAATCATGAGCAGGGACTGAAAAAAGAAGAGGGAATGATACAATATGATGGACGAATCTACATCCCAAGGGATCAAAAGCTTTGTGGCAATATTATTGCCATGTGCCATGATCATGCAACCGCTGGACATCCCAGGATTGCAAAAACCAAGGAATTGGTACTAAGAGAGTACTGGTAGCCAAAAATGGATCATAATATCACCTGATATGTCAAAGCTTGCAAGACATGTCAAAGAGGCAAGGCTTCAACACAGGCGAAAGCAGCACCACTTCATCCAAATGAGGTACCTTCATCACCATGGACCCACATTTTGGTGGATATGATAACCAGACTTCCTGAAAGTGACAGCTATGATGCAATCATCATCATCATCGATCGGTTCTCAAAGGCAATCATTCCGATCACCTGCTCAACAGAATTGACATCTGAAGGATGGGCAAAAATACTATGGGATGAGGTTTATGCAAAATATGGCATGCCTCAAGTAGTAATTTCAGACAGAGGACCACAGTTCATCTCCAAATTCTTGGATGATCTGTATTGCCTACTCAATATCAAGCGAAACATGTCAATGGCATACCACCCACAAACTGATGGCCAAACAGAATGAGCCAACCAAGAAATCGAAAAGTACCTATGACTTTTCATCAATTATTGACAGGATGACTGGATGGAATGGCTGGCCTTAGCAGCATTCCAACATAATAACAGGATACACTCATCAATGGGTAAAAT